GCTAACATTGTTTCTCAAATTAGGTCTCACTAGGCCTGAACTTTCTCTGAAGTTCTACCAGCACATCTCTCACTGCCTATCTGAATACTACAACATCAACTTTAAACTCCTTTGTTCATTTAGTAAACAATCATTTATTAAGCTACTGCACTTTCAAGACACTCTGGTAGGCTTATAGATGTGAAGATGATACAGTCCATGACTTCATTAAGAAGCTCCTAGAGGCCAGGCTCTGTGGCTCACACCTGTAATCCCAGCACTTTGGGAGGCAGAGACAGGCAGATCCCCTGAGGTCAAGAGTTCGAGACCAGCCTGGCCAATGTGATCTTGAACACACTGAGATCACAATCTGTTCTCACTAAAAATACAAAATTTAGCTGGGTGTGGTGACACGCACCTATAGTCCCAGCTACTTGGAAGGCTGAGGCAGGAGAGTCATTTGAACCTGGGAGGCGAAGGTTGCAGTGAGCCAAGATCACGCCACTACACTCCAGCCTGGGTGAAGGAGCAAGACTCCGTCTCAAAAGAAAAAAAAAAAGCTCCCAGACTTCCCTACTTTTGTCTTTCTACCATCATTCAGGCAAGAAATCTTAGCATCAGCTTTATCCTCACGCTCATCTACTCAAATCCCAGATTTTCAATAGCTACTACTCTAATTCAGAAACTCATCGCTATGCCGTCATCCCACCTAGTATTTATTATGCAACCCAATATTTATTATGCAACATTTACCCAGCAGTGCTAAATGTAATGCATGCATTATCTCATTTAATTTTTACAATAATCCTAAGTGATAGGGATATTATCTCTATTTCACAGATGAGGAAACTGAGGTTTAGAGACATTACATAATTTATAAATAAGTCAGTGAGAAACAAAGCTATGTCTAATGCCAGAACCTACATTTTTAACTACGACCACAGTTCATCCTCATCAGTGAATTATGGCAACCCCTTCCCTTTCCAGTCTCAGCTCTGGGGTTTCACCTCCAGCAAATCCTTTACACTGTAACATCCTTTCTAAAGAACTATACTTTTTACCACTTTTCAACTAAACTATGCACTAGGTATCTTCTTAACTTTCTCCCTAAGGTGGGAGTGGGGGGTAGAAGTGGGGCACGGGACAGGGAGGTAACACACAGAACTTGTGTACTCTAATTGTATACTCCAACAAAATAACAAACACTTGGTAAGTGCTAAATGGTTGCCATTGATGCTAGGACCTTCCCAAACTAAATAGCTCATCACTACCTAGAAAATAAATCCAAATACTTGTGTTTGGTATTCATATATCTCCATTTTAAATTCCCTATTTTTCAACACAAGTCCTGTTCTACACATACAAAAATTATTATATTTTAATATTTTTTTTCTTTTTTTTTTTTAATTCGACACAAACCTCATTCTGTCACCCAGGCTGGAATACAGTGGTGCCATCTTGGTTCACTGCAACCTCCACCTCCTAGGCTGAAGCAATGCTCCCACCTTAGCCTCCCAAGTAGCTGGGACCACAGGCACATGCCACCAAACCCAGCTAATTTTTGTATTTTTTTACAGACATGGGGTTTTGCCATGTTGCCCAAGTTGGTATCAAACTCCAGGGATCAAGCAATCCACCCACCTTGGCCTCCCACAGTGCTGGGATTACTGACATGAGCCAATGCGGCTGGCCATATTTTAATATTTTGTCATTCACCAACAACTGACTTAAATGCGGAATTTTGCTTTATTTATGGAAATCTCATCTTTACTGGTCTTAAAGATTAACCTGTTGTTAAAATATACAAACCACTACTCTGATTTTTGAAGGCTTTCCTTAAAAAAGATCCATAAAGCAAATGGACAAAGGAGATAAAATTAGTTTTGTTACTGAAAGTGGAAAATTGACCTAAAGTTTGTCTCCAATTCAAAAAGTTTAAAATCTGAATGGTTTTATGATATAAAAATGGGTAAAAGTATCCAAAGCTGGAAAACCCTGTTTTCTGCCATGTGGTTTGTCATGAGATGACAAGAATATCAGCAAGCTTGTGCTTCCAAAAGACACAATGGTTCTTACAGCAACTTCCAGCTTATTTAACAAATTATTGAGAAATAAAAATGAAGTGGTCACTAGCTTATATTCTAATAGGAGACAGACTTCAAATAATCACACACGTAAATATATAATTACAAGTTCTGGGCTGGGTGCAGTGGCTCACACCTGTAATCCCAGCACTTTGGGAGGCTGAGGCGGGTGGATCACCTGAGGTCAAGAGTTCAAGACCAGCCTGGCCAACATGGTGAAACCTCGTCTCTACTAGAAATACAAAAATTAGCTGGGTGTGGTGGCAGGTGCCTATAATCCCGGGTACTTGGGAGGCTGAGGCAGGAGAATCACTTGAATTTAGGGGGCAGAGGTTGCAGTGAGCTGAGATCATGCCATTGTACTCCAGCCTAGGCAACAGAGCAGAAACTCCGTCTCAAAAAATAATAACAATAATTACAAGTTCTGAGAAATGATATAAAGCAAGATACATGGAATGATAAGACTTAAGATTAAGACTTGGGGTAGAGGACAGATAACATCAAGAAGGCTTCTCTGAGAAGATATCACTTAAGTTGAAAACTGCAGAAGGAGATGACTGGTAGATGGTGGTGCTGGAACAATTCAGGCAAACAGCATCCCTAAAGGCCTTGAATTGTAAAATAACTTGATGTGACTAGGGAAATTAAAATCAATGTGGCTAGAGTTTAGTGAAGGAGAGGAGGAAGGTAAAGTTAGTGAAGCAGGCAAGAACTAGGTTATGCAGTCTTGTGAACCACAGTAAGGATTCCGAATTTTATCCTAAATGTAACAAGCACTTAGCAGGGGGAAATCCACCAAAAGGTTTTAAGCAAATAAATACGTTACTACTGAATGGATAAGTCATATATGGTTTGTTTGGGTTTTGGGAAAGTGACTAAGAGCAAGAACAGAAGAAAATAAGGGAACCAAATAGAAGAGTATTGAAGTTGATCAGCTTATAACAATTACAATAACAATTAATGCTTACTGGCCATTTACTCTGTGCCAAGTGCTTATCATGGTTATCTCATTTAATCCTCATAACAATCCAATAGGCTGAAAATTACTATTTCCATTTTACAGATGATAATACCGGAAGCCAAGGCAATCAAGTCCAGGTGAAAAAGGACTGTGGCTTAAACTAGAAGAGTGATAGTGAAAATGTACAGAAAAAGATGCAAGACATATATTGGAAGTAGAATAGATAGAACTTGGAAAGTAGAAGTCAAGAATGCCTCCCAAGTGTGTAGCCTGTGTCATATGCCACTTAATAAAATGGGACACTGGAGAAAAAAGAATTTGGATACGGAGAGAAAGATCAAGGCTTTGGATTTGTCTGTGTTGCATCTGAAACTCCTAAGAAAAAAATCAAGTTGAGATGTCAAGCAGACAGCTGGCTATCTAGATGTGGAGCTGAAAACAAAGGGAATAGGCTGGAAATAACAATTTTTAAGGCATCAATATATAGATCAAATTTAAAGCTTAGGGAGGAATACAAGAGTAAAAGAAGAGGACGCAGGACTGAACCCAAATATTCATTTTACTTCATCAAACATCTTTAAAACAAGCGATTACTTTTATATCACTGGGTTTTTCAGTCCTCCTTCCATTTTACCTTTCAGCAGAATGCAACACTACTGATGACTTCTTTCATGGTTTGCAAGACGCATCCTCCTCTATCGGTTATTAAACATCAGGAATCCCTCAATGCTCCATCCTAGGCGCCTTTATTTTATAGCACTATACTCTTTTTAGGCAATTTCATCCACATCCATGGCTTCAATTACTATCAATATGGCAGATGACATACACATAAACAGACCGCACACATTTACGTATCCAGCCCAGAACTCTCCTAAGATCTCCAACCCACTATATCCAACTGCCTGCTTGACATTACCTCTCAGATATCTCTTCCAGTTAGACACTTGTCAGGAATTGCCACCTCAATAAAGGAATTTATACAGAGCTGAAATTTTGAGAGGACTACCCCAAAACCACTTTAGGACAACTCTCCAGGACACAAGACTTTGTCATCAATCATCATTTCCTTTCATGGATCATGACTTAAAATAGTTACATCTAACTACCTGATCTGGCGGCCAGAAATGGGAGCAAGGAAATGCACAACAAAAATACAATTTATGTTTTGCAGTGAGGACTGGTCAAGAGGAAGGTGAAAATGGTCAAGAGAGTGAATGAGTATCATGTCCAAGACCTGATGGATGTGCCGTAACGAAAGTCACCTGAAGAGACAGCAGGCCCTGTTAGAAGGTAAGTGGCGGACAACAGCCCCAGAGAAAAGGGGGCAGGTTTGAGTTTCGGAGGGAGAGAGTGGCAGTGGAGACCAAGTCAAACGAGAGGGGAAAGCCGGGGCAATGCACCCAAAGGTAGTACCTGTGAGGCTGGGGGTGCGTCGAGGGGTTGTGGGCGGGCTCAGTAGCAGCAGGGCGAACTCCAGAAGAGTGAACGCCGAGTGGGCGGATCGCACAGAGGGAGGGGGTGCTAGGGAAAACGGCTCAATTGAGAAGCTACCCCGGCCCGCCTTACCTGCGCCGAAGGTCCGGAGCCCCCAGACAGACCCGCGGAAAGCACGGAGCCCGCGCGGAGAAGGAGGAGCCGGGGGTAATGGAAGTAGGGATACCAAACCCAAAGGAGGGAGGCCGCTAGCTACCCCTAGTCAGGGAGAGCGGCTGATGGCGGGAACTGTGACCACACGCAAACACGCACGCACGCACGCACATTCTACGCGACCAGACAGGCGCGTGCGCGCCAGCCAAAAACTCCGCCCCTCACACGCCCTCGCCCCGCCCCCCAGCACCTAGAGCGGCCTAGCCCGGGCAGCCCCGCCCCAGCCGTGACTGTAGTACGCACGCGCACTTTCCGCTTCACCCGATTTCGAACCCCCCCCAACCATTTCCCTCCTACACAGCCCAGTCGGGCATGCGCAATAGTTGTCTTCCCGGGACTGTCCATCCTTTCCCGCCGTTCACTGGCCTTTGGAGGAGGGTCAGAGTTCATGCCGCTCTCTGGAAAAATCTGCTGAAAGCCAGGAGTTGCGGGGACTAGTGGTCGTGGACGTCCTTCCGATCCTAAATCTTAAGGGGCAAAGGCCATACTCTGGGACTGTTAACTAGGCCGAGGGCCTGGAGGCGGGAAGAGGATGTGTGGGTGGGGTCAGGGGTGAGAGGTCAGAGGGCCGCGAAGGGGGCGGAGCGAGCCGGAGGCGGATGGCGGCTACGGCGGCTCATTATTTTCCGCGGCAGGGGTGCTGAAGCGGGGACGCGGGTCAGACGCGTCCGGCTGTGGAAGGAGAGCGGCGGCCGCTCACAACATGCACAGCCTGGCGACGGCTGCGGTGAGTGGCTGGGTCCCCAGGCCTGGAACCAGAATCCTTCCTCAGACCCACGTTTCGGCCTTCTCTCCTAGTTCCCGGTGTCGGGTCCCTAGTCTGATTTTTTCTGTACTCAACCTACGAGGCCCCGATTCCCCTCCTCGGCACGCTTTGGTTGTGGTGGAGCCGGCCTGTATTTCCTCGCCGGACGCATCTCGCGGCCTCCAGCGCGACCCATCGCGTTCTTTGCGGGCGCCAGGGCCTGGTCCCGCGCCCGTAGCAGGCCATTCATTGATTTTTTGAGCTGACCAACAGTTTCAGGGCGCCAGTTGTGTTCTGGGCGCCGGCGTCGATGAGGGGAATTCCATGGTCAATCTGACGCGGCTCGCGCTCTCAGAACTCACCGCGTCGCAGCGGGAAGGAAATGGCTTCTAGTTCAAACCACTTGCTTTACTTATGGAAAACCTGAGGCCCGAAGAAGTGCGTAATTTTTGCATCTGACTTAGGTTCTCTGCGTTTAAAACTTTCCTCGACACATCTCGTTTTACCCGCGTGATTTTTTAACGGAAAAGAAAGTGTAATTCAGCTGTCTGAAGTAATCCTACTTCTCTTGGCATTTAAATAAAATCTAGACTCCTTGCCATAGCCTACAAAGGCCCTGTATGATGTGGTCCTTAACCCACGTTTATAATCTCGTTTTATGTCTCCTCCTCAAGCTTCAGCTACACTGGCCACCTAACCCAATGCAACGCGCTTTTCTTCTCCAACATGCACTTTGTGGTCTCTACGCCTAGAGTGAATGTTCTTCTTATCCCTCCTCCTTTACACACACAGCATGAGTGTAATTGGTACCTCTTCCTTGAACTCTCCTTCTTCTCCTTAAACTGTTTATCCAAATCCGTCTTTCTTCAGGTCTCTGCCTAAATCTGTCTGAGTGGCCTTCCCTGACTATCCTTTTCAAATTAGTTCCGCAGCTTCTAACTTTAGTAGAGTACCCTTTACAGCCTTGTTCCCTGTGTAATTATTGTATTCGCTTATTTGTTGTCTGTCTCCTTGAAGGCAGGGACAGGGATCATGTGGGCCCTGTTGACATGGTTTCCCCGGTGCCAGGACAGTTCCTAGTACAAGATAAAGACTGAGATACTTTGCTGCATGAAAGAATATTGAAGGGAAGGTGACCACTGAAAGAACATAGCCATGATGGTGAAAGGAGATCATTTGATTTGAGCACACCTGCCCGAAGACCATTTCTGCTTTTTCTGTTTAACCAAAGGGAAATGATTTAAGGAAAGTGATGTACTGAAATTGTATTAGCAGGCAAAATGACGTAATTACTAAATAAAGCACCAAAAATTGCCATGCCTTTAAGTACAAAAAGTGAAAAATTGAGCCAAGTGTGACTAAGCTATAGAAAACTGCTTTTTGAGATTTGATCTCCATCGTCATTCCCAGTGCTGTTGGTATCTCTGCCTCCTATCATAATGTTTCTAAGTGTTTATAACTATTAAATGTAGAGAGTATCTTTTATACCTCAATTAGGTCGTTGCAATTCCCCTAGCTTTTTTGTTCCTTCTCCCAAATTATATATGTAATGTGGGGAAACGCAAGTTGAAAGATGAGTGTGCTGCTATTAAGGGAAAGACAGGTTAAATAAGGGAAATTATTCTTTTTTTTTTTTTTTTTTTTTTTTTTTTGAGACGGAGTCTCGCTTTGTTGCCCAGGCTGGAGTGCAGTGGCCAGATCTCGGCTCACTGCAAGCTCCGTCTCCCGGGTTTAAGCCATTCTCCTGCCTCAGCCTCCCGAGTAGCTGGGACTATAGGCACCCACCACCTCGCCCGGCTAGTTTTTTTTTTTGTTTGTTTGTTTGTTTTTTTTTTTGAGACGGAGTCTCGCTCTGTCGCCCAGGCTGGAGTGCAGTGGCCGGATCTCAGCTCACTGCAAGCTCCGCCTCCCGGGTTCACGCCATTCTCCTGCCTCAGCCCTCCCGAGTAGCTGGGACTACAGGCGCCCGCCACCTCGCCCGGCTAGTTTTTTGTATTTTTTAGTAGAGACGGAGTTTCACCGGGTTAGCCAGGATGGTCTCGATCTCCTGACCTCATGATCCGCCCGTCTCGGCCTCCCAAAGTGCTGGGATTACAGGCTTGAGCCACCGCGCCCGGCCCGCCCGGCTAGTTTTTTTGTATTTTTTAGTAGAGACGGGGTTTCACCGTGTTAGCCAGGATGGTCTCGATCTCCTGACCTCGTGATCCACCCGTCTCGGCCTCCCAAAGTGCTGGGATTACAGGCTTGAGCCACCGCGCCCGGCCCCAATAAGGGAAATTATTTCAAGGTTGACTTGTCCATCTCTCAAAATCTGATTGTGTGTTCTCCAGAATTTTAGCTTTGATACTGAGCCACTCTTTCCCTGTGCCTTCCCAAACTCTGTAGCTATTCCTTTTATTTTCTGTCGCTCTCTAATGCATCTTTTAAACAACCATTAAAGCTGTAGTACATTACTTATAATAAGTACTCAATACATGTTTCTTTAAATTTTCAATGCCTTACATTAATTTTAAAATTTGAACTTTTAGATGCACTTTCGCTTATGATGTTTGGACCTCATAGCAGTTCTGACAAATTCCTTGATACCACTCATTCACTAGGATATATTTAGCTAGTGAGGAAACTAAAACATAAAAAGTTGAACCACCTCATTCTCAATTTTTCATGCCTTCCATTGAACCAAACTGCACTATTCTGATCTGGGTAAAGGGACAGTAATGATACATATAACTCACTGGAATTTGAGAAGCATAATTAATGCATGCAACAGTCCCCAGAATAATCAAAGCCACTTCAGAAGATGCTTACTTTCTGCCTAACAATGAAAGTGTGTATCTGTGCCTTTATCTCTTTTTTTAAATAGTAAGTAAATCATCATTTCAGCTAGGGAGATACAAAGTACTGCCAAATGAGAATGTAAGCCAGGTGTTGTGTACTCATAGTCCCAGCTACTTGGGAGGCTAAGGAGGGAGGATCACTTCAGCCCAGGAGTCCCAGGCTATTGTGTGCTATGAAGGCACCTGTGAATGGCCACTGGACTCTAGGCTGAGCAACATAGCAAGACCTTGTCTATTAAAAAGAGAGAGAGAATGTAGTCACATGTAAATGCAGGATATTATTCAGTAGAAGGAAAACTTGAGATAGTATGGGAAGTATCTTAAATTTTGACTCTTGAGTAGTAGTATGCTAGAAATGTGTAGTAGGCTGTTGTGATTCTTTTTTTTTTTTTTTTTTTTTTTTTTCAGACGGAGTTTCACTCTTGTTGCCCAGGCTGGAGTGCAATAGCAAGATCTGAACTCACAGCAACCTCCGCCTCCCAGGTTCAAGCGATTCTCCTGCCTCAACCTCCCAACTAGCTGGGATTATACAGGCATTAGCCACCACAACCGGCTAATTTTTCTTTTTTTTTCTTTTTTTTTTTTTTTTGTATTTTTAGTAGAGACGGGGTTTCTTCATGTTGGTCAGCCTGGTCTCGAACTCCTGACCTCAGGTGATCTGCCCGCCTCAGCCTCCCAAAGTGCTGGGATTACAGGCATGAGCCACTGCGCCCAGCCTTGCTGTTGTCATTCTTGATGGAATACATCCTAACATCTTCATATATTCATTACTGCCACCATTGAGCATAATTTCTTTTTTTGTCTCGTCTGATAAATAAGGACAGAAATACCACACAGGATTATTCTAAAGATTAAATAAGAATAACAGAATGCGGCCAGGCACTGTGGCTCACGCCTGTAATCCCAGCACTTTGGGAGGCCAAGGCGGGTGGATCACCTGAGGTCAGGAGTTCGAGACTAGCCTGGCCAACATGGTGAAACTTCGTCTCTACTAAAAATACAAAAATTAGCTGGGCGTGGTGGCGGGCTTCTGTAATCCCAGCTACTCAGGAGGCTGAGGAAGGAGAATCGCTTGAACCCAGGATGCAGAGGTTGCAGTGAGTCAAAATCACGCCATTGCACTCCAGCCTGGGAGACAAGCAAGACTCCATCTTTAAAAGAAAAAAAAAAAGAAAGAATAACAAAATGCTCAGTGGTTGGCTAGGTTCATTCACTGATATGTTACTTGTTCTCAGACTTCAGCTTTGGGAATTTAATTCTCAAATTAAAGGCTCACACCTATAATCCCAGCACTTTGGGAGGCCAAGGCAGGAGGATCACTTGAGGCCAGGAGTTCAAGACCAGCCTTGGCAGCACAGTAGGAACCTATCTCTACAAAATATGTTTGAAAATTTTCCAGCTGCAGTGAGCCATGATCATGCTACCGCACTTCAGCCTAGGCAACATAATGAGACCCCGTCTCAAAGGGAAAAAAAAAAAAAAACCTACAAATCTTTGCATGCCATAGGTATTCTATAATGGATATTATGCTTGTAAAACAACCAGAGGTAAGCCTTTAAGGAGATGCGTTTTTGTTTTGTTTTTAATTTCCCTCTGATTCCCACTGACAATTCTAGCATCCCCAAACACTTGTCTTTCTCTCACTTTCCACCCAACCAGCAGCATCATTAGTTATTTTACATCTTTTTATTGAAGCTGTCATGGACTCCCAGATGCCTTCCTCTTTGGCAAGTAGAAAAAACACTGCACTCTAAAGGATCTAATTCACTTTCTCCTCCCTAGTCTCCTGATGAAGCTTTAGGCAAATTGCCTAACTTATCTTTGCTTACTCACTTTCATTTTTGAAAAGTTATTTTGAAAAAATACATTCTGGGCTGGGCACGGTGGCTCATGCCTGTCATCCCAGCACTTTGGGAGGCCAAGGCAGGTGGATCATGAGGTCAGGAGTTCGAGACCAGCCTGGCCATCGTGGTGAAACCTGTCTCTGCTGAAAATACAAAAATTAGCGTGGTGTCGTGGCATGCACCTGTAATCCCAGCTACTTGGGAGGCTGATGCAGGACAATCGCTTGAACCTGGGAGGTACAGGTTGCAGTGAGCTGAGATCGCACCATTGCACTCCAGCCTGGGCAACAAGAGCGAAACT